TTCAATATTGGACAAACTTATTGGTTTGTTGTTAAGTGAGAGTTGTCTATTTCATGGAAATTTGATAAGATGTCATTTATTCCTTCTTACACCTGTGGATGTTAGAAAGTTTGTGAAATGCCTTCGAGATAAGAGACCCTTGTTCGTCAGACTATTTAGACCAAAACCATTTTAAGAAAGTTGTATCTCAAATCGTGTATAACAAAGGATGGAGCGCGATTATAGAAATAAAAACTGAGAAGAGTCAATTTCAAAATTGTTCAACTTCTCAAGCCGCATCCATATGATGACAATAAAGATCAATATCTAACAAATCAAGCCGTTCTTGACTTCTGCAGGAACTTGGATACCCATTTATCAGATTACATCTCAAGGATAAATTATGAGATTCCCTTTTTGTCTTTTTTTTTGGTTTATTCTTCTCCTTAATTTTTTTTCTTTGAATGTTTGCAGATCCCATAGACAGTAACATTCCATTTTACATATTGGCAGAGTTCGGGGAATTGCTTTCGAAGGTCCAAATCAAACTCCAGAATGCGTTTTGGGCAGATTCATTTAAGACTCTTTATATTAGTCCACTTGACTGATTGTGAGATGAGGACAGCTATTATTAAACCTAGAAAGAATTCGTCCTCATCTCACAATCAATGAACTATTATAAAGAGTCTCAAATGAATCTGCCCAAAATGCATTCTGAATGCACTTTGATCTAGATCTTTAAAAGCAATTTTCTGAACTCTGTCAATATGTCAAGTGTAGTATTATTGTTCGTGGGATCCTGCAAATATTCAAAGAAAAGAATTAAAGAGAAGAAAAATAAAACCAAAATAAAGATAAAAAGGGAATTTCATAACTTACCTTAATCTGGTAAATGGGCATCTAATTTCCTGCAGAAGTCAAGAATGACTTTATTTTTTAGAAACTGATCTTTCTTGTTATCATACGGTTGCGGTCTGAGAAGTTGAAGCATTTTGAAATCGGTTTTTCTCGGTTTTTATCTATGTACTCCGCGCTCATCTTTTGTTATACTCGATTTGAGACACAACTTTCTTCTAATGACTTTGGAAAGAGTAGTCTGACGAACAGGGCTTATTTTCTCAAACGCATTTCACAAACTTTCTAATATCCACATGTGTAAGAAAGGATAAATGACATCTTATCAAATTGTCATGAAGTAGACAACTCTCACTTAGCAACAAACCAATAAGTTTCTCTAACATTAGGATTTGTTATCCATCAGGATAAAACTTTTCATAATTTTCCCAAGTGAGTGGAGGTCCCTTTTTCTCCCAGAGGTATTTTCATTATAAAATTTTTATTTCACTAAGTACAACATAACATAGTCCTTTCTAGAATTTTTATATATCCCAATATTTTCAATAGTGAAGCCTTTCATGCTCATGTTTTCTCGAGTGTAGATGATAAACGGAGTTTATCAATTCTCGAATAAAAAGTGCAATACGAATCTGGGACATAGAAATACCTCTTTATTAGCGTGTCCTTAGATATATGACATTTAATCAATTCTGCTCCACATGGGGTCAACTTCCGAGGGCACTTTGGATAATATATAATGCCATGTTCTTTTTCAGTTCAATCAAGACGTATTGTAGTTTTATGCCTATGATCTAGACCAAAACTGATCTCAGGTAGTAGACATAATTTTACAGCAACAAGGTTCTTACAAAGAATTAATCCTCCAATTCTAGCCGATGAAAGAGGAATTATGAGTGACCTTACAGCATTCATGTTTTCAACATATGCCCCGTCGAGAATGGTCGTACTGAAGGGAAAATGTAATTTTGAGGTGAGAAAGAGAGTGTTTGGGGGTGGGTTTGGGAACGGTTTTATTTGAATATATAAAAAGAGGCGTTAAGTGATGATAGATGAGTGGTAAATAGTAAATCCATAAATCCATAAATAAAAAGAAAGAGAAAAGGGGGGAAAACGCTTAGATTATTAATGAAAGCCCAAAATCCAAATCAAGCTATAAACTCTGGCATTTCATTTACCTTTTTTTTTTTCCATTGTTGTCTGTTGTGAGTTTCGCGATTGCCAACGGCGAAGGCGGATGAGACAGTGATTTTCTTCATGCATTTTGGGAAATCAATTGCGATTCTAAGAATTTGAGGTAGAGCACGGGCTGTGAGGTTCTAGATTTCCTGAAGTTTGCTTCTTTTTCGTGTGTTGGTATTTTGTCATGGTTTGGAATTATAAATCCGTAAAGACTCCGTGTTAGTGCAATACGATTGAAATGCGGTTAAAATGAATTGAGATATAATTGGAGTAAGTGCCGAAGATGCGACTGAAGTGATTAGAATTCGCGACGAGGGAACATGAGGATCTTAAACTCTACTCATTGATAACAAGTTTTATACAATCAGAATTTCTTTTACGTGGATAATTTAGCACTTTAACCAATAAGTGTAACTGGTCGTGTAATAGAATATATGCCTTTCGCATTGCCCCTTCTACTGTGAACAAAACTTAGTATGTTCTTCTGCATTAGAAACTTGATGCACTTATGGCATGATTGGTATGAGGGAATGACATAGGAATGGAATGATCATTCTCTTACTCATTCCTTATCCGATGATTGGTATGTTTTTTGGAAAGGAATGACCATTCCCATTGGAATGACAAACCCATCTCCATGGGATTAGTCATTCCATAATTCATGGAAGTTTCCTCATTCCGTAGGAATCAATTTTTTAAAAAATAAAATAATAAAAAATAAATATATAATATATATTATAAATCATGATTAAAATATATTAAATAAAATTATTTTAAAAAATAGATTTCGAATAAAAAAATTGAAAACATACTTTACTTATATAAAAATAAAATTAAAAGAAGCATTTATATATAATTTGAAAATATATTATTTTATTTTTATATATTACTAAAAATATATTATTTTTTATATATTAAAAATATATTACTTTTAAAAATATCTTATTAAAAATATTTAAAATATATATTATTAAAAAATATATTATTTTAATTTATACATTATTAAAAATATATTATTTTATAAAATAAAATTCAAATAGAAAAATTTAAAATTTTCTTTTATTTATTGTTTAATTAAAAAATAAAAATATATATTATTAAAAATATATTACTTTTAAGAATATACTATTGTTTATACATAATTTAAAAATATATTATTTTATTTTTATATTATTAAAATATATTATTTTTTATATTATTAAAAAATATTATTTTATTTTTATATATTTTTAAAAATATATTATTTAATTTTTATATATTATTAAAAAAAGCATTTATATATAATCTATAAAAATATATTATTTTTCTGAAAAAGCTTTTATTTATTTTTATAATAAAAAATGATAATGTCATTTCATTCAGGTCTTATTCCTTCCGCATACCAAACGCATCAATGACAAAACTTGTTTCATTCCATTCCCATAATCATTCCATTCTTTAATCATTTCATTCCTACGAAATTCCATTCCATCATACCAACCATGCCATTAGTTCTGAAACAGCTGAGCTATGATGATTTTCACTATAGGCCAGTAAGTCTATTTGGTCAGAGAGTTCGAACCCGAATATCATGCAACTTAACCCTGTACATTGCAGCTGCCGCATAGAAACGAGTTACAGTTGGTACAATTTTAAGCCATCGCATATTCATTTATGCTTAACTAGAACTAATTCTGCTAAAGAGCATCTTGATATCAATAAGCTTGGTTTTGCAAATTTTGTTATCGTGATCAGTTATTAAATGTCTAGGATAAGTTAACAATGTATGTTACATATAAATGGATTTTCTCCTCAAGCTATTACGCTGGAATCTAGTTTGACATTTAGGTGAACAAAATGGTACAATTCTTCTATTCCACAGATAGTTTTTTTACCATTTCAACACAGTTTAAGAAAACACAACTATTATTATTGGACAGTAAAAAATAAAAATTAGTACATTCCAAATATAACCTTTATGTTAATCATTATTGTATTTTGTGATTCCATTTCGTTGGTTCTCTTATTAATTGAATAGGGGCAAAACGGAACTTGATACTAGGCTAGTTAGCCAGAAAGCTTGTTCGTTTTTCCTTTTTTCTTTCTTTCTTTTTTCTTTTTTGTATGGTTTATGGATTTCTAGGTCATGTGGATGCTAGTTCACCGACTTTGGGATCGAGCAGGTCATGGAAGTCTATGAAAATGGAGATTGATCATTGCTTGAGAAGTTACCTGATGTAAACGATTCAATGTGTGGATGTGCTGCATCTGCTTCAGCAACTACTTCAGTTACTCAAAAGCTTGCGAGACACCGGGACATACTCCATGAGTTTACCAGGTTATTTAATATCATGTTGATCTAACCCCTTCTCAGTAGTCTATGATACTCTTTTATATTTATCTGTAACTTGAAGACTGAACAAATATTTGCCTTCCCACTCAAACAATGTGGAACACTTGATATTCCGGTTACCCCTTCTCTCAACTTCATGAGACCATCATTTTATTCTGTTTTCTGCAACATCAATTAATAAATAATTATTACCATCATCGTGCTTACTCTCAACTGGAAGATGTGCCTGGTTATTTTGTCCAAGGGCTAGTTGTGACGATCATATGAAGGGTCAAGTTTAGCTGGGCTGCTAGTTCCTTTCTTGCTTCCTTTATTGTTTTGTTTCCTATTTTTAATTAGTTGTTACTCTACAAACTCTTTATCTGAGCATTAAACAGTATTTGGAGCACACTTTGCCCAACTTCTATTCATTTTCAAATCCTGAACTCGTGACTGGCTGGTCTTGAGGATCCAATAGTTACTGTACTTCCACGTTACAGATCGACTTTCAATTCGTAAAGTAAATGGTCTGCACTTGATTGGAAAAATCTTTATGTGTCATGTTGTGAACAATTAACCTGGGGTGAATTACTTGACCAGTTATGTTGATCCTGGTTTAATTGACATTTGGTATATCTGTAGGAATTAAACGTATCAAGGGATTTTAAACTCAATGAGGGAACATGCACAACTCCTGAGTTCCGTAAGAGATGTTATTAGTGAGTACAAGGTGAGAATTTAATAAAACTATGAATGTGAACAAGTTCCTGCCTCCTGGTGCCTTCGGCTAAAAGTTTCAACTCTTGCAAGCCTTTGGGAAGTGTCTCTCCTAGAGTACAAGTGCTAATGGAGACATGGAAGCATATCTCATGTAAGATTTGAAAGCCTAAAAAAAAAGAAGGAAATAAAACTTCTTTTGTGAGTTTGTGATACACTGGGCGGGCTGATGTAGTGAGATTGGACCCATCTATGAGGGTCTTACACCCTTCTTTTTTTTTTTTTTTTTTTCTAAGTAAAGAAAGGTACGTACCTTAAACTCTGATTGTCTCCTCCAAGAAATGAGTTGACAGTAGTTAAAATTATTGTATTATAAAGAATATCTTACCAAGTTACTGGGCTTAGGCACTGTTAGAACCTGGTGTTGTTTCTCATGTTTATGCGAGCAAAATTGGAATAATTCCTTGGTTCCTAATTTATGAAGTCGATAGAATGGTCTCTAGATGTTGGTAACTTAAATTGTGACAACTTATGTATAATTGCTTGTGTCTTGTCCTTATTTTACTTGTTCTCTTATGATCATCTGCTCCATCATGATAGTAGCAATTCCTTCATTTTAGTTTAGCCAATGCTCTTGTAGTTGATTTTACAGCTACTATGTTATTGTGTACGTTTAATCATCAGCGTTTTGGTCTATCATAGATTGATGATGTGATTAGTCAAGCTCAAGCAACTAGAGCAGCCCTGGGCTCCCAAAGGGCCTTGTTTGGAGATGTTCAAGGAAAAGTGAAGCAGCTCAGTGACAAATTTCCTGTCATTCGTGGCTTACTTGGTAATTCCTAGAAAGAAATGTTTGCTTCTTGAACTTTTTAAAGCAAACCCATGCTTATTCTTTTGTTTCTTAATCTGACACAGGTTCTATTAAAGGAAAAAGATCAAGAAACACTCATCTTTTCTGCTGTGATTGCTGCTTGTACGTTTTTCCTTACCATATGTTGGCTTTCTAAATGAACATTCTAATTCGTCTTAAAATTAAGTGAGGGAAAAGAATAAATATAAATGATTTTCCATGCATGGTTGTTAGAAAATGGAATTTTATTAAAGTTATGGTTCCTAAATGGGATCTTCATTTTCTCGTCACTTACCTGTCTTACCTCATACGGAGAAGCAATATGCATTCATGGCACTTCACTGCAGAGATATAATGTAGTTACTAGATGACACAGATTAAACCTTGTTGTAGTGTAGGGTGGGTGTCATTGTATTTGTATTCACGGATCCCAGGTTAAGGGAAACTTACTGGTCCTAACATTCTGGCATATGTGACAGTGATGAGAAATATAACCTTAGGTGCAAAACAACTTGTGATTGCTCTGAACTTGGAAATAATTTGGAATTTGGGCAGACAGTTTGAAAACCAAATTACCAACTCATGGTGTCTTTTCTATTTGGATTCTTTGTGTTGCAATTTAATAGAGAAACTTTAGGTGATTTGGAACAGATATTATAAGTACATCCAAAACGATATCTCAGAGTTTTGTGTTACGTGGACCGTTGGATCACCTGAAAATCATGAATCACACGATACAAGATCCTCATTTTGTGGTCTTATCAAGGCTCATCAAGAGCTGAACTCTAATTTAACCCCAAAACTTTTGTGGGTTCCGGTCTTTTTATTCGGCCAGGTCTGTTTAACAAAGATAGACTCATTCGGTATCAACATAGATTACAAGTGAATTATACATTAGTTAGTGATTATGGGCGCAAAATATGCATGGACATCCCTTGGCTTTTTTCCTATTTGTTATAGAAGGTGTAAAGGTGGTTGCTTGAACAAGCTATGGAAGTGTCTATTAAGTATTAAGTTGATGTTTTTGAGTTGGTGGCGTACAAAAAATACTAGGTTCCATGACTTAAACTTTTTGCCAACCCTCACAAAAGATTTGGGATTTTTCTATCCTTTTAATACACATCGAATCTAAACATTGGGTATTCATGTTAGTATTCATGTTATACCTTGATACAATAGCTACTCGACCCGCAGGCTATAGCTCGACAAATGCGGGTATAGTTTTATCTGTTTTCTCATAATGCGACTATTTTGTGCTTGAGAATCTGTGTATCTTGAAATACTATCAAGATGGATTGTGATTCATCTCATTTTTTTCATCGGGTAAATTTGATTTTTAAGTTATTTCTTTCATTTATATGGTGCCTTTTGAATATTTATAAATTATAGTAGGCAAAATTGTAATTTTAATCCTGTTAGTTTGATCCAGTGACGTTTTTAGTCATAAGAATTGAACATTTTTGCTATTTGGTCCTATGATTTTAAATTTCAACGCAATTTCAGTCACTTGGGACTGAAAATGCAACAAAATTTAAAATTACAAGACTTAAATTGCTAGTAAAAAAATTTATGTCCTGTAATTTTAGATATTGTTGTGAACCAAAAGATTGAAATTGCAACAAAATACTAAATTACAGACAAAAAGTTGAAATTTTGGGACTAAAAATGTGTTGTTAAACGAAATTTTAACAACATAGGATATTCGGGGAATTGTACGTATATCGTTGAATTTCTATGTATTTTGTTGTGAATTAAAATGAAGGAATTCAAAGAAATGAAATCGTAAGAAATCTTATTGTTCAAGGGAGAAACAAGGCTTCAGGGGAAGCTTTGAGGCGGTGCCTCTATTTCAATCAAAGAAAAAGAGCCCCCAAGACTTATCCTTTAGCCTATATATATACATCTTTATATTTGGGCTAATATGGACCCGAACATTTAATGGGCTTTCACAATACACATGTACTTAGTCAAAGTATGACCGCGCAGGGCCCAATAAATATGACCGTGCAGGGCCTAATAATAAATATGACCGCGCAGGGTCCAATAATTATAATAAATAATAGCTTTGATTGGCACTTCGACTTGCATTTGTCTTGTGGGCAATTTGATATGTCTGTCAAAGTGGCTTCTTTGAGATATCTGGGTCGAGTTGGCGACATTGAATTCTGATTGGTTTTGGATGTGGACCGTCTTGACTTCTGGGAACCCGGTCAATACAAATAAGACAGAAAAATCTGCTATTTTATATTTATTCAATATATATCCATATGTCGCGTTTTAATGAGTAGCGGCCAAAATCGTTTATCAACAGTAGGCCCCCGACTTTAGGACACGTTCTGAATCGACATGTTCTGAAGTCGCATGTATAATCAATTTTGGTTGTTTTCTACTTTATAACATGTTTGAGCTTAAGGCTCTTTATGTTGTAATAAATGAGGTATAGATGCTGTCCGGGTGCTTTGAGACCCGTGGTAGCTTTATTGATAGTGTTTAGGCTTTTGCCTGATGTATCGACGTTAATCATATTTATTCTAACGATTCAAATCATGGCATAAATAGCCCATTTATTGGAATTGTTACTGGAATAGGGCCTGAGCGGCCTAGTCGAGTTATTTCGTACCCGTTTTGGGCGTTTTGCATGCAGTGTGAAGCGTTTGATTGATTTGCTTCTATAATGATGATAATAGTATGTATTTGTGTGGGCACTCGGGCCGCTCAAATTGTTTATCGTATTCGCGATTTTGTCGTATTCAGATGACGCGATTTTTGATTTTGTGATTGTTTTTCTTCGTAAGATGGACCGGGTCGGATAATTCGATATTCGATCTTTGGTCTTATTTTTATTGAATTATTGCTTGATCGGGTTGTGTGCTCCCGATTTTTGATGTAATTTGTAGAGGGCGTTAGCCCTACCAAACCAACTTTAGGGTTTGGAAAATAAGTTTTTATGTCAAGATGTATGCATGACGCGCGTATATGACGAATGTATGTATGAATGCGTGAATGCATTAATGTGTATGCAGATGCATAATGCGCATGTGCAGTAAATGATTAATGTACGATAAATAAGGATACCTCGATATTTTGTCGAGTCTGACCTTTTCTGCCGATAGGTGTTGTGCTTTGCCGAAATAATAATATATGTATGAAGGAACGTCGGGCATTGGCCTCCCCAAGCCATCTTCAGGGCTTGGTGTATCCGGCTTCTGCCATGAAGGGCATTAGTCTCCCCAAGCCATCTTCAGGGGATTGGTGTATCCGACTTCTGCCATGCTGACTTATTTTTTTGAGAGCCAGCTAAAATTGTGTTTCCCCAAGGTAGATCTTGTGCCTTGCCTTTTGCGGGGAAGACACAATTATTTGTTTATTGATGCTGTTGTCGGTCGGTAAGTGTTATGCCTTGCCAATGTGGCCGAACCAAGAACTTGTGTTTCCCCATGGTAGGTTTTGTGCCTCGTCTCTTGCGGGGAAGACACACATTTTTTATGCGTCGAACTATTTTTCGAGATTCGGCTCTTTTTTTATGGTTGGAGCAAAGGCTCAACAACGAGATAATATAAAGACGTCAGCTCAGCCGGAGTCGAGGCTCTACGGCAAGCAAATATGAAGGCGTGGGCGGCCGGAGTTGAGGCTCTACGGTGAAGAATATAGAGACGTCGGCTGCCGGAGTGGAGGCTCAACGGCGAGCGAATACAGAGACGTTGGCTCAGCCGGAGTCGAGGCTCAACGGCGAGCGAATATAGAGACGTCGGCTTAGCCGGAGTCGAAACGAGGAGCAAATATGGAGACGTCGGCTCAGCCGGAGTCGAAGCTCTACGACGAGCAAATATGGAGACGTCGGATATAAATGACCGGTGGCGGCATAAAGAAATTAGGCCCCAGCGTTGATGAATGTATTTATCCCCAATATAGGTATGTGAGGTGGGGGCGATCAAACGATGAATCAGCTCAGAGTAAATGAGCTCGGCCTCAGCTATCGTCGGTTTGAGTGAGTGAACTCGGCCCCAGCATTGATAAGTGAACTAGGCCCCAACATTGATTAATGAAGTTGGCCCGACGTAAATATATGGCGTTTCTTTCTCCCTTTTTCCGAACGACCCACAGCTTCTCTTTCCTTAAGTTCGAAGACTTGGGAGTAAAATAAATTATATTGGGCATGAACCCTTTTTGGCCCAAAATAAATATTACTTGGGCCTACTCCAAGGAATAAATTAGTTGGCACTTAGTATTTGGGCATTATTTCCTCCTCCTTCTCATCCGCACAACACAACAAAATTTCTTCAAGATCCGATGGCAGGCGACCCGTAATTTAGTTGGGACTTTGTCTGTCCGATACAAATACTGTTTTCAGGCGACCGTTTGAACCTGCCAGGCAGCAAAATTGGGCCCCGATTTTGAAGTCGAAGAAACTCGGCCCCATTGTGAAGTCGGTCGATTGACGCGAGCCGATTTTATTTGGAATCCATCCTTTGATTCAGGAGGTCTGTTAATTTCTGGAAATCGATGTCGGCGCTGGCGGAGAGAGGGATTTCGACGACTGAAGTCGAAGGTATGTACCTTGGTTTGGAGGTCGACGGAGGTGGAGTTGGGCGACGACATCAGAGGTCGAGATGTCGGTTCCGATGAGGTCGGGCCGATATGTTGAGGTCGATTCTGACCGAAGTCGGGCCGCAATTTTGAGGTTGGACTCAGAGGTGCCGAGGTCGGCCCCGGCGGCATGTCGGGGGCTTGAACACCGAGATCGGGGATCCGGCTGTGAAGTCGGTTATGTTGGTGTCGGCCGTCTTTGAAGTCGAGGATGGATATGTCGGGAGTCGGATCTCGGTCAAGGCAACGTCGGTCTGGCTTTTCTCGATTTTGGTAAAGATGACGTCGGTGGTGAGGAGTTCGACCATGACTAAGTCAGGCTTTCGGTGACATCGCTCGGCAATTGCAAGGTCGGACACTGTTGTGAAAGTCGGTCAACGGTCAGTAAAGAGTTGTGTGACGTCGGATAGACCAAAGTAGGTCCGGAGAAGTCGAGGTCGGGCTATGATTTGTTAAGGTGGAGTCGGCTCCAGTCATGAGGTCGGGCTTCGGTTTGTGAAGGGTCCCGACTATGTGATGTCGGTTTGTGAAGGGTCCCGACTATGTGGTGTCGGTTTGTGAAGGGTCCCG